TTTTTTTTTTTTTAGCTCTGATCACACCGCAACCACATTTCACACAGCCCAACTTAAAATCTAATTCGTTTTGTATATATACATCATTATACAATATACATTATAAATAATAATTATATGATATTTACAAAAATAATTTATTATAGTTGGTTATTATAAATTATTATAATTGCTAATAATTATTATATTTTTATTATTATAAATGTTTTTGTAGTTGTTTTTAGTCCATTTAATATTTGTTGGCATGTGCACCAGCACTGAATATTGGTGTCAGAGCTCTCCAATATCTTAAATATTTTATTTAAATACATTAATTATGATTTAATGATTTAAATGATTTAAATACAAAAGCCTCATCAAAGATGTCTGTGAAAATGTCTTGTTTTTTATTTGTCTAGTGATTTAGAAGCAGGCATCAGAGTTCAAATGTATTTTATTTTTGGTTATGAACCGACATACATTAGATAATGGAGAATCATATTCCCGTTAAAGTACATGAGTGCAAGTGCAAACAAGATGGCTCATGCTTGTTCAGAGCGCTGTCAGGGTAGACAGTAAAGTGCGCTAGCTACTTTAGCTTCATGCACACAGAAAAAGACACTGAACTTCAATTATAAAGCTATGTCACAACACATCAAACTAACATAACAGACTAACATAAAATCTCATAGCTGTTGGACTACAAGCTGGAACAGTTAGCTATTATTGCAAGCAAGGTTACACAAGCAATGTTAGCAAGAGGGTTTAGATATTGCACACAAGCTACAGGATAAACAAAGCTTACTCAACACTCCCACTAGAGACAGATCTGCTTAAAGTGCTTAGAACAATTTAACAATAGAACAAATACCACAACGAAGACTGAAAATTCAAATAGAAAATACGATTAAACATAAATATACTTATTATCACTATTGTAATCTTTGTCAAGCAGGCATAAGTTTTACTTTTCCTTCTTCTGCTTTTGCGATGCATTGTGATAATTAACCAAGCTCTGTTTATGGAGTTGAGAAGAGGAGGGATGGTGTGGCTGACCCGAGTGTTCGCAGCCCAGCACAACATTCATTTGTTCTTCTGGGCCTTTTGGGCAGATTTAGTGACCTTCCCAGAGGTCGAGGTTTTCTTCTCAACCCCCTTGATGACGCCCACTGCTACGGTTTGACGCATGTCGCGCACTGCAAAGCGACCTGGGAAATGAAGATCATCCGAAAAATAAAGTTAGTTATTATTATAAATCAAGGCTTTAATCTTTGTGAGTCCAGAAACAGAGATG